CCCCCCTCCCCCCCCCACTCAAGGCATAATTAATGAACAATTCCTAAAAAAAAACGGAATTCGAATTTCCAAAAAATGATTAGGAAAACGAAGTATTGCCTACAAAAATAAATAGTTAATTTCATACTTGTCATGTTTTAGACATGCAAATGGGCTAATTAAAAAAGACTGATATGGCAGGCGGTATTTTTAATTGAATTCAAGACTTATTAATATAGCTTACGTAATTCGCAATAACGTACAAAATAAACCATCTTGAGGCTTATCAAAGAGAAGTGGTCGAAGGCGTTTTGTAGTCTAGTTTTTCCGCCAACTGATCAAGTTGATCTTATTTGGGCTACACCCCCATTGTTTTGCCTTTTTATTTGTTCTCCAGAACATTCTTCCGATTGGTTGTGAGATGAGAGGATCTGGTTTTACATTTGGATATTAGTCAGTCCTTTGTGGCGTATCTAGAGGACGTCTGTTTGGTAGCTGGTAGCAAATCGAAAAAGGCCCAGGTAGAAGGCGATTAAAGGACTTCGATTGAAGGTATTCACTCAATACTACCCCAAAAATGACCCGGCCATCGACTAAATATCGCCGGGATAAGTCGCAATCTGATGGACTGTCCAAGTATACATGCTGTTCAGTTCTTTAGGGAAATCGGTTTATTTGAGCTACTCAGTGTAGTCAGTGAAACTTTCCCTTGTGATTAAAAGTAATTCTATCCATTGAGTAATACTAAAACAATCGGACAACTAGTTTCTCTTAAATTTGAACAGAAACTTTTGTAATTGTTAGCCGTTAAATTTCTCGATCCAACTTGTTGGTTTTTGAGTCTTTTTCTCGTTTTATTTTTCACTCTTTCTAATGACAAAAATGGTCTCATCGAGCATCGATGCACCAGCTTTAATTTGCTCTCTCTCGAAAGAAAAGGAAAGTAGAGCTAGATGGCCTAGATGACCAATTGTTTTTAGAGCTTTACAAAGAACCACGTCAATTAACATGCAATTTTGACATTATGATCCTAGCTTTGCCATAATACTAAGTAGGCTATTATGACCGCACATGATAGATAACATGACTGATTTTTTGCCGTTTATTTAGAGAAAAAAGAAAGAAAAAACTGAAGATAACGATAAATTATTTAAAATTTCAGCACTGCTTCGTTCTCATAATGGATTAAAAACGATTTTTTAAAAATATTAATATATCTTACACGGCAAGGYATTTCCGCGCGCAAGTAACGTTTATTAAATATGAGACAGTATTACATTAATATACTAAATATTTATAATATTAATGTTAGTAATATTAATATTAAAATGTTTTGTATGACAAAGCATTTTCGTGCGCAAATTACCTTTGCCAAATATGAGTGCAAATATGAGACAGTATTGCGCGAGTGCGCGCGCATACACATGCAGAATTTTTTTAATAGAACTCGAAAGTGATCGCCGAAGAGCTTATAGAGGCTACGACTTAGCTATTGGATATTATGAAGTGTATTAGAATATAATACCGGATCAACACGCCTAGGAAGTTAGTGAAGAAACGTTGATAGGATCTTAAAAACCTGAGAAGAGATTTAATTTGATCTTCCGACAATTAAGATTAAAGAATATTCAATTTTAAATTTAAGAAAAAAAAAAAAAAAATGATGATGATGATGATGAAGATAATGATGATGATACCGACGACTACAAGGACAATGATAATGTGATGATATTAGAAATAATTTTCCTTTAAGATAAGTATTATAATGTACTCAAAAGGAAAAACGGAATAAAAAAGAGAGTCCGTCAAAACATGAATGACGACCTCTCGATAAGCGCCGCGGTCACAAAACTCATGCGGAGAAAGGATACGCGTTTGTAATACCATGAACATCCTTTTTCAGCGATGCCATTGTTATAGGTGAAGATCTGGAAAAGATGATAGTGATGATGATGACAATAATAATAATGCAAATTTTCAATAAATGTTTTCCTCGGAGTCTCGTTTTGGATAGAACAGAACAGCTGCTGGCTTTTCGTTTCAAAAAACCTCCCTTCGGCGCCATCCCTCCTGTTTGCGTTTTTTTCCTTCGGGGTCTTTATTACTTTGTAAGGTTTACATATCAGTCCCGTGGGACTCGAAAAGGATAAACCGAATACCAGCGACAAAGAGACAGGTGGTCAAAGCAAACATCAAATKTACACATACAAACTAACAAACAGCGAAGAAAGAAATACAAAATAAATTAAAGAAAACGAAGTAACAGGAAAGGCAAATATTTAGAGTAAAGCCGTGTTTCTTAATGGTTTAAACTGACTGAAAAACCAGAACAGCATTAGAAAGAGCACCTTGACTATAGTGTTGAACCCCTACGAAGATTGATTGGTGTTGTAGTGTTATATCGGCCGCGAAAAACTTTAGTTGAAAACCGACAAATTTACAGACGTTTGTATATCTGGGGTATATGGTCTATATATAATGATGAATAATATTGAAGTCAGTTCATTTGCTAAAGCCCGTACCGTAGTATAATGTTGAGTGAAAGCTTGATGTCTAATCATTTGAAGTGTTTTTCCACCTACCGATTAAAGTACTTTTAATAAAACCTAAGGGATTGCTTTTAAAATGATTTTTCTTTAAATTTATGCTGTTTAAACACTGCATTACATACATAATTTACAAATGTGGGTCAAAGTCTTTGAAAAAAAGTCGATATCGATAGCCAGAAACGTCCTCTGGGCTGAGTCTCATCAAGATTATGAATTTACCTATTCATTCTGTTGCTTGATTTAAAAAAAGCATTTTTTTTTTCTGTAAATAAAAGATGAGTAAAGAGGAAAAGAAAATAGTCTTTTAAAGACGTGCCTTATTTTCATTTTTCCTTTTTCTTTTTTCTTTTTTTTCTTTTTTCTTTTTGACTTTTCTTTGCCATGTTATCATTCTTTTACGCACATTTAATTAATTGGAGAAAAATAAAGAAATGTACTGTAAAATTTATATTTCCAAATTAACTCTTCTGCAACCTTCGCTTGACTGAATTGTAGAAAATATGTTTTGCTAATTTCTGACACAAATGACAAGAATCCTTCGAGTTTCATCTTTACTTCCCATTTTGCATATAAATTGTGGCTTATTATACATGTAGGACTAACTGGATTTATCATATTGTTTTTCCATGGGTTACACAGAGGATATTACATGGGCGCACGGAGATACGAAATTTGTCTTCGAGTGACACGAGAAGATAAATTTCGTGTCTCCAAGCGCACATGTAATATTCTGTTTATTATATAATCATCTATAAAATCAACTTTATAAGCTTTCTTTTATAATTAAAAAAAGTTTTTATTTATAAACTAATAGTTAAAATACACTTGGTAACGATACTTTCACATGTGAAAATAACATGTTGTTTTCACATGTGAAAATATCAGTTTTTCGAAAAGGATAAATATAGGTATTTTATGGATAATTATATGATAAAGTATATTCAGAAAATCCGCATATGACGGTTAAAAAAGATTCAGACACAATTTGGAAAGATTGTATTTTACAAATCAGTTGTTTACGAAAAATAAACTGTTTTCTGTAAAAGTAACGTGATTGAATTTTGGATTTTCGAGAAGTTTTAATTTTTTTAAAACCTTATTCTTCAGGTCATTTTAAAAGTGGGGGAAAATGAAGTGCCGGAATGATTTTTATCATTAAGATAATTGAACATCTACACGTATTACACCAGGGTTGGTGGATAAGCGAGCGTAGGTGACAAAATCCAATTAGGCTTTGAAAAAGTGATATTAATGGATAACTTTCCACCTAATGGGGAGTTAGTCAGGGTGCTCATTGTCAATATGGACCAGACGYCAGTGAAAACAGACGAGTACAAAAATACTGCTTAAGTGGAATTTTCTCAAAGGTTTTTTAAATCTAATCAGCAGAGACATTTAAATATCTTATCTGCATAAAATCTTGAAGTCTTTATCTCGTTCATGCTGATGAACACATTTGGCATGACCGCCAACAACTGAGGATTAGACTGTTTCTTCATTCCAAGGTAGCTTTAAAAAATCTATTACAGGATTGCTATTTCTTTTAGTTGGTAAGTAAGCATGTAGGTCGTAATATTTCATAGTTGAGTGTACTATTGCGGATTTTTTTAAAAATCTACGACGACTTAACAGCAACTTRTTTCTTTGGGATGGCTAAGAGAACGACCAAAACGATTATAGTAAATAAACTCATACGCTGGATTACGCATCTATTTACGTTATGCTATTCCATACATTTCCTACCTTTTCCTTTTCTATTTTCTGTCCATCATAGTGAAATGTTCAAGCAGAATAGTTACTCGGGCTTTCAAAGAAATGCCCGAGGTATAAATTGGGCTTTATTTGCGTTCTGTCACAAATCGCAGTTGCGTTCAAAGCGCATGCGCAAGTTCTATGCGCGTGCGTAGTATGCGCCACATAAGCACATGGTCGAGCAATGGCGGAATTTTTCAAGGTTTCGTCAGAAGGATGACAATGTTCACGAAGAATTCTTTCGATTTTTTGCTATGAAGCCCGAGTTCACGCAGATATGCGTCTAGTTTGAATAAAAATATTAGACGCTTGTCGTAGAACTAATCTCGTTTATGGCAAACGTGGAACGTCAGTTGACCATCGAAAAATTGATTTTTAAAATTAATAAAAAGGAATCGGAAAAATCTCCAAGTATAGTAGATAAACAAAAGAAAATGTGTCTTTGGTGAGACGGTTTGCAAGAGGTAAAGTGAAACACAGGAAAAAGATGAAAACGTGTTTGCCGTTTGCAGGAAGAAAAAACTCCCTAATGACTTGAAAATGAACTCAGAAATAAAATGAGGGGACTCATTAAAAGGAAACATAAAAGGACTTTTATGACTGCTTGAAAAATAATTAAAACTGAGAAACATACAATGTTTTTTGCAATTTTGGGGTAAAAGATAATAGATGTAAAACCCCTAAGGCAGATATGACATCCTGATAAGGTTTTCTTCATAGAATTAACTCAAGAACCACTGGGTGACATTCTGATGACTATGAACCATGCCAAACCAAAATCGTGAAGAAAAACATTCGGAATTTTCCAYTCGTCAGGGCGCCTCGATAACAGTGAATTATTGTATATTTACTGAAAGGTTTTAAAATAAAATACCAATTTATTGTGGAAAACTTTACCACTACGGCGTTAAAATGGCGACACATTAGACAAATGACGAGACAAATGAGAATGTGCTACAAGATACACAAGATAAGGTATAGGAGACTGAATAACATATACGGTTCGTTACGTGCATAAAGTTTAAAGGGGCACTTGGATGAAAATCGATGAAAATTGGAAATGACTTTAAACTTGGGTAAACCTTTGTATATGGCCCCAATAGTAGCCAAGCAACATATTTCTTGACAGTCAAAAGTGGGGTGTGAAAATCAGTTTTATTTAGCAACTAGATTGTGAGTAAATTTACTCAACCCTATAGTGTTCTTTTCGCTTTTAAACCAAACTTTCTCAGCAGCAAGTGGCACACAGGCTAAAATTTTCACTTGTCTGGTTTACATAATCGTAAATGAGTCGTATTATCCTCAAATACTTCAGTTATTTGGACTTTCAAAAATTGGGGCGTTTTCATCCAAGTGCCCCTTTAAGACAGACGACGCGGTGTGGGTTAATGCATGAATTAYAAAAGACTGCAAATAAATTCAAATTAACTCGAGCATTTTAAAACCCACAACCACGTGCTCGAAATCTAGAATCTTTTGWTTCTATTGGACTTAATTTCAATTGACTGASATGATCKTCCTMCCTAACTSATCACGTGGTCTTCCAGGTAATATAAATTGCCAGTATACTGGGATATGAAAAATACTTATTTTCCTAAGAACTAGATTAGATTGTCGGTTAACACGCATTTTCGGGAACCCAGGGGTAAAGTTCTGCCACTCGTTTCTCGCTCCCAGAAAAAAGTATGGTACCACAGACGCTATGAGAAAACTCGTACTAAAGAACCTGGTGATGGGAGCTCAGGTACTTGTTGTTCTTTTGAGAGTTCACCTAGGTTGTTAAYCGATAGTTCATCGCTATATAATAGATAAGTAACCTGGATTAGTGTGAGGGGATTTCTAGCTCTAGTCAGTTGTGCAAAAGGCCAAGAGCAGTTTTTAAAGCGTATCAAGCATAATCGGTTTCGGCTGCTTTAGTCCTTTAAGGCTGCACAAGAGTGCAAACCATATATCCGATAAAAACTTTGTAAGAAAATGTGCATAAATTATTAAATAGACCTCAGTAGACTGTAGACCTACAAAACTWCTTGCACTACTTGCTTCTTATTTTTGTGTGTTCATGTTAATACTTTGCCTTTCCTCATTTTACTCATCCTTCAAGATTATGACGTTGTCGTCTTCCATAATTTGCAAAATAAATTTATGGAGCATTAATAAATGATCTACTTAATCACTCTTGTCGTGCTTATCTCGATTACAAAGATATCACATACATTTTGAATTCTCATCTTTCAAGCTCCATTTCGAATTTTTTCTTTCTCAACGCTAAAGTCATCCGGCATYTAAAACCCAATTTCAATTTAAYYTTACAGTCAAACMMRCTCATGCGTCATATTTGCAATGTTGGCTGACAATGGCAAAGCATTCCTCATTAGCTTCTCTCGTTTGGTCAACCAACATGGCGGCTCAGTGTTTTTTATATAGTCATCCGGCATCTAAAACCCAATTTCAATTTAATTTTACAGTCAAACCGTCATATCCGCAATATTAGTTGACAATAAAAAAGCATTCCTCATTAGCTTCTCTTGTTAGGTCAAACAACATGGCGGCTTTATATCCGCTCAAGGGATTTTGAGTCCCCAAGAATATGTCACTATTAATAAAATGCATTACGAAATTCAATATCGATCGGGCAGAAACGAACTGGGTTTAGATCTGATTTTATGACTTTTTTTTTCACCCAAATAATTAAATTATTCTCATTTTTTCAGRGGCTTCACTCAAGTGGAAAATAATGGCAAATAACTCAAGTCACAAGCCYTTTGGTGATCCGTGGGGTAGTCATCTGTTTGGTCGCGAGTTGGCCATTRTATTAACGATTCTTGGTATAATCATCTGTATACTGGATCTTATTGGCAACATAACCGTCATTCATATAGTGCGAACGCGCATACACATGCGCACTACTATAAACTTGCTTATTGCCAATTTAGCAGCCGCTGACCTCCTCATGGTGATCGTGGTCTTCTATCTTACAAAACATTTCTATGTTGGTTTTAGATGGTTTGGAGGAGTACTRGGACAAGTGACCTGTAAATTAGCCATGTCTATCCAAATATTGAGCGTCATATGTTCAGTTTTAACTCTTTGTGCAATAACTTTCGATCGATTCTTCGCGATCATGTTTCCGTTAGCAAGGTTCATGACCTTTAGTAAAAYCAAAAGGCTAATGACTTTGCTGTGGATTTTATCCCTTGCCTTCTGTATTCCACTTACAGTTGTCTCGATGTCTATCGTATATGGCGATGGATACGCCTGTRTTGAAAACTGGAAAGGACATGGACTAAATGGCCRTGCTTACACCATAGCATTTGGGCTTGTTGGTTACGTAATACCACTCGTTGTCATGTCAACGCTCTATCTAATAATGGGTATAAAGTTATGGAGAGCTTCTACCCCAGGCCATCAAACTGCGGAAGCCATGAACAGGATCAAAAAAGGTCGGAGGAAAGCCACTAAAATGCTCATAACTGTCGTGGTTGTTTTTACACTTTGTTGGCTTCCTCTTCAAGTCGCCGAGTTTCTCAGGCAATTTGCGCCAGACATTTATTGGACTATTCCTTTCAAACTTTACTTTGTTTTACCATATTTTGGCATAGCAAACTCGGCGATAAATCCCTTTATCTACATTATATTTTGTGAACAATTTCGTGTAGAGTTCAGTACAATATTATGTTTTTCAAAATGTGTTGGATCACGTGACGATGTGCGGAATCGGTCCTCGAGGAGTGCCCCGCAAACGACAGGGAAGTCTACTTGTATCACAGAACTAGTGCAACGCCAATCCATAACAACGTCGTTGTGAGACACGTATTGAAAATTCTTACTATCAGTATATAGAACAAGTTATATATTCTGATATCTTTTGACAAGCAGAGAAAACTGACACAAGTATTGAAAATCCTTATCAGTTTCTTGGTATATAGAATGGCTTATATATTCTGATGTCTTTTGACTAGCTAAGAAAGATCGTAGTGCAACGCCAATTCATSACAACCTCGTGTGAGACTTGTATCAGAAAATCCTTTTTGGTTTATGTAGAATGGGCTATCTCAGCTAAGAAAGATGGGAGATCGAAAACTAGCTGACATTTTTTTGACAAGCTCAGTAAAAATAACTGGCTATAGGAAAAGCCCCTAAAATTGGGTGAAACGTATTTTACCTAGCTAAAAATGACTGAAAAAAMCCTTAAAACGTTAACCGCTGCGCTATTTATAAGAATAATTTTGGTCCAACAAACAAGTTATCATTCGGCGCCAATTCTGGCTGGAAACTCACAGGTTTATTTACGAACGAGACTTTAAGCCAAGGCTAGTGTCTACACAAGAAAAATTGAGTGCCATGAAGTAAGATTTCCTTGGTGCCTCGAGGACGTACTATAAAAAATAAAKAAATCACTTTTATTTAGCACTAATTGGGGACACTTTTCGCTCACCCGCACTACCACTACATTCAATATTCTATGCACACAACGCTCAGCTCACATGTTGATTTTTACGGAGGGAGGAAACCGGAGAACCCGGAGAAAATCCTCGTAGCATAGGAGAGAACAACACATCAAACAAATTCAATTCACATGTGACGACCGCAGGGCTCGAACCAGCGACCCGACCCGTTGGACTCACAGCGTTGAAAGACGCTACTAATGTATCAATTTGTCTTATTGGATTGTCCAATAGATATCTGGTTGACAGTTTAAATGACAACCAACTACAACATCTTYTGTCATCGTACGCCCATCCATTTTATTGCATAGCATAGAAACTTCCAATGCATGATAAATAGGAAGAGTAGACTAGCGACGAATATTGACAGCTTTCAAGCTTTCCTTTTCTGCTGTAAAAGTGTGACGTTATACAGAGGAAAAAGACTCCCAAATAAATAATTACTTCTACGGACATTTTTCCGTGTTTTTTTTCCTTCATAGCAGGATTTTCTGTTCATATATCTATTTGTTGAGGTAGAGAATGAACCTGAGAATAAGGTGTGGCAAGATTTTAGCGATCTGTTTGTGTGATTGGACCCGGAAATACGCCACAACTGAAAATATAAGCCCTATAGACCTCCTCGGCTCTGACGTAATGTTGTCCCATTCAGACCACGTGTCATTCCCTAGAGTATGATTTCTTTGTTTTAGGTTTGCGCTAGGTTGCACATGAGAAGATACATGAATATAGATACAACTCAAACAAAGAATATTATTCTCRAGGGAATGACACGTGGTCTGAAATGGGACAACATTTCTACCAATAGATTTTTGAAACGCGATAAGTCCTGGACATTGCCAGCCACAAACCAAACCAAAACATTACGCTCGCGCGCTCCAGAGCCGAGGAGGTCTATTTCAGTAGATTTTGGGGCTGTTTATTAGGGGACGAAATAGACGTCATCTTGGTAATATATCCCATCATACAACCCAAAAAGCACTGCAATGCCAAATCGATCCTTTTTTCCTCTTAAACTCGGAATGGCCAATGAGCCGCTACTTAAGCCTGGTTCACACTAGCGTCGGAAGTCGGAAGCAACATACCGCGCAGACTCAGTAGTATACTTTTTTCATAACTAGATGAAAATGTAAAACTGAGTCAGTGTCTATGTTGCTTGGGATTCTCACGCTTTCCACGAGTCAAGTAAAATAACGATATAAATATTCCTACATATTGACTACCCTAATTCTCAACCTTGTATTACTCTATTAATACAAACGACTGCATGTAGTCACTACCCTAATGTATTTATCTGAGACATCCTATCTTGATTATCAGACCTAATTGGGGAATACGTTTTTTTATTTTATTATTATTTTGGAGTACAATAGAATGATAAATGAGTCCTAGAGTAGGCTCCTTTATTGGTGTCTCAGGTTGCGCGAAATGGATCTTTTTACCTTTGGGGTAATGTTTTCCCATTTCCCTGTTAGTCAGCCCAAATGTTATTCCCTAGAGTATCATTTCTTTGTGTAACAGTTGCGCTCGGTTGACACATGGATATACAGTCTTTTGACTAAACGTTGTCGTTTGATCGGCTTCATCCCTGAGCGCCTAGACCAAACAGGATCATGGGGATAATTAATTCACAGTTACTAGCTGCCTCATATGTTATCTAACACGTCTTGAGCTCGCTGTTTTCGATCCCATTTAATTTGCTAAAACCATGCCTCGAGCATACGGCGAAGATTTAAACTGGCGAGCAGTTTGGATGACGCAAGTTCTGGGTAATTTATCCGTTATCCTTTTCGGTCTAGGCGCGTAGGGATGATCCGATCAACGACAACGTTTAGTCAAAAGACTGTAGATACTCCGACCTCCCCGATACAACTCACACAAAGAATCTTAATCTCAAGAGAATGACACGTGCTCTTAAATGGAATAATAAAACGCCCTAAAGAGGTCTATTTATTTGCCAGTGAGAAAGCGATAAACGTGAATAGAGTGGTTTTCAAAAACCCGTGAAACAAAGTGTAATAACTAAGGTGTAATAAATTGTAATACAACGAAAACACAAAAGAAAATCAAAAGAAAATGCGGACAATAAAGTGTATTAAAGTGTAATACGCTAAAGTGTATTTCACAGGTCCCCGAAAACCACTCTATTCATTGAGAAAGATACTACGTTAAAGCGCTATATTTCATTTTATTCCGTTCTAATACTAGACCTAGGTCTGTCTATACTAAACAA